CCACGTAAAACACCGAGTGGGTGCGCATCCGTTTTGGAAGGTTCAGCGTATACGCTAGGCCACGCTTGACCACAACCTTAAACGGTCCGATAAACCGTGGACGAATCTTCGTCCTGAAAATAGCAGAGGCTGCATGTGTAGGAAGGTTTTTAGAATTTGATAAAACCAGGTCCCGACCTTAAAGCTTTCCACTTTGCCTCTTCCTTTTTCATCTGCACATTCTTTCTGCTGGTCTTGGCTTTCAGCCATCGCATTGCGAACGTGTCGTATGACACTCAGTCTAGTAGACAAGAAGTCATCGACTTCTTTGCGAATGGTGAGGAAACTGACATCAGCTAGCCGTTCGGCTATTCCTCCCCCACCAAGGCCTGAGCCATGGGATGGCGGCGTCAGTGGGACGCGAGGGCGAACCAGCCCGTTCACGTAGAACGGCATATGGCCGGTAGACGAATGCATTGCATTGTTCAGCGCAAACTCTGAGAGTGGCAACATGGCCCTCCAGCGTCTCGGCGTCTCAGCGCAGACGCTGCGAAGAACGTCTTTGATGACGCGATTCACCCTTTTGGTTTGGTCATCGGTCTGCGGATGACCTAGCACCTTGAAGATAGTCGAGCAAAATTTTACCATAAAACGGGGGTCTCTATCAGAGACAGTCGACTCTGGGAGTCCATGTTGTCAGAAAACACGATCCACGAATAGCGTTGCTGTACCGACTCCGTCGATGGTGTCTGGCACCGCTGCCAAATGAGCCATCTTGCTCAACCGGTCGACGAATACCCTGGCACCCGTCGCCGAATCTTTCGGCAGGCCAAAAACAAAGTCCAAACTCATGGACTGCTAGCACCCCATGGGTACCGGTAAGCTGGCCAATGGCGCAGCCGCATTTGAAGAGTAATTCACCCGTTGACACGTCTCAAATGTGCGCCATAGGGGCTCGTCCATTTTTACAGCATAGGCCACCAATAGTGGTGACCCACAGAGTTGTACGTTTACTCACGACCGAGATGACCACTGAGTGACGTGTCGTAAGCCTTATATAGGATGCGATACGTCAAATCCTTATCATGAGGAACCACAATTCGTGGTGTATCCGTTGAATCGGTGCTACAATATAGCAAGCCGTTATTCAACGAATATTGGTGCAATCGTGCACGCAGTCTTGATGACAATTTCTTGTCCGATTCTCCAAACTCCTTGCTCCCGAGGGCCCGTAGCAGCGCTACGCACATCCCATCACCCGCATACGCGGTGCGGATCAAATCCGTCACGGACAACGTTAAAGTTGTAACACGAGCAAGCTCATTATCTGGTCTGCGTGACAACGCATCAGCCGAAGCATTCTGCTTTCCCGGCTTATACTTCACCTCGAGGTAATATTCCGCAAAGAAGGATAGCTATCTAGCCATGAGGTGGGGCGACTGAGTCGCAGTGCGTAGTGATGCATGATCTGTATCGATCACAAACGGCTTGGAGCTGAGCAGGTGGATCCTGAACTTGACAAGTGCATACAAGTGCATACTTCATCGCAAGTAGCTTCTTGTCATGAACTGTGTAGTTCTTCTCTGCAGCTTTGAGCAGTCAAGATTCGAACCA